CGCTCTTCAAACCGGAGGAATTTGAAAACGCCGGCTTTTCGTTTTCGTGTGGACGGAAAACATTTTGAAAACGGAGCTTTTCGAAAACGATGACATCACTGTAATCAAGTGATTTCCCTGCCCGAGATTACCTCTAACACAGACCCGAAATGACCGGTGATTGCTGCGTTTTCAAATTTCTCTGGCGTAGTGTGGACCGAAAACATGTGATACGTTTTCAGAGCGGAAACGCCGTTTTCAAATTTTTCCTGCCTATTGTGGACAGGGCCTAAGTTGCCTTTTGCCTCTGTGTCAAAACGAGTCTTTGTGCGAAACCATATGAAAATGTTTTCCGCCTGCAAGTTCATTTTCATGCAAATTAAACTCATTTTCATATGAAAGGTTTTGAAACAGAGGCACAAGGTAACTCGAAAATGGCCAGTTAGGTACTGAACTATTTGAAGAACCTGATGAAGAGCTGGGCACTAACCTGTGATGGACTAGCATTCCACATGTCCTTTAAATACGGAACCAACGGTGCATGTGGGCCGATTAAACATAGCTCGACTGAAGATTTTGTTTATCAATTATCACTTTTCAAGCATTTAAGGAGGCCTAAAAGCACCGTTCTGTTTTCTTTTTTTTTATCAGGGGTGGCAGTGGTGGTTTGAATGTCAAAACTCAGCCTGAGTCTCGTTGTCCAGAATTGCTGGCCAATTTCTGTGATATGCTGCTAAGGAAAACTCCGTACAGCAAAAAGCTGACATCTGATGAAATTCAAGCAAAGCTCAAAGATGTTGTGAGTCTCTTTCTGTGTTGTGATAAGGACTGGTGAAACTCTGGTGAAACAAAGTTTCGCTGAGTTATAGCAGTTTGGTTATTTAGAACGATTTGTTTTGTTACTTAGGCTAGTGCAGAACAGATTTATAAGCCACGTTCACGGATTGTAGTTTACTTCGGGGGTGTCAAGGTAAATGAGTAAAATAAGCGCGCCATCCCTAATCAGTATCCTCCTGTCAGTTGCCGACAAGATTTAATTAGCAGTTGTCCTGGGCATTTTATAAATTGAATTTTTACGGTATGTGCGTTGACTGCAGGGTCTTCGATTCATTGCTTAGTTTGTAGGATTTGTTCTAATCCCAGTTTGTGTCCTTTACAGTTGTTGGTTTTAAAATACGTTATCAACAAAGATGTTTTTATGAGGTATGTGAGTTTAATATCCATTGTGGGGCATTTTTATATAGAACATTGCCGCCATGTTTTGACTCACAGCTGAGTTAAGCCCCAGCCAAACGATCGCAACATTTCAACGCAACATATCGCAACATTGAAAGTGAAGAATGATCATTCTTCACGATGCGATGATCATTCTTCACTTTCATCTACAACCGCAGTTCAAATATGAATTATTTCATATATACTTCACATCATATCGCAACATTGTTGGGCGCAGCATGTTGCGTACGTTTGGCCACCCTGTTGCGATGTGTTGCGATGTGCTGCGACATGTTGGGTGTTGTTGGCTCAAATTTGAAACTGGTCAAATTTTTCATGTAACATTTGTGGATGTTGCATGATGTTGTAGTCGTTTGGCCAGGTTCGTGCAACAATGTTGCACCCGGGCATGCGCTCTAGTTCGATTTTCGATGCCTAAAGCGCAAGACGTCGCAACAGGGTGGCCAAACGCGTTCAACATGTTGCACCCACAAATGTTGCGATATGTTGTGCTGAAATGTTGCGATCGTTTGGCCAGGGAATAAAGAGTAATAAAGTAATAAAGAGGTTTTAAGCACGGTAGTACATTTACAGCTTCTGTTGGCAGGTACAGTTTCCTCCTTAAACTGAAGGCATCAAAACATTACAAAAGGATTGCACTGTGTGATTCTCATGCCGGAACGTCGGTTTTTAAACTTGTCAAATCTTCCTCTCCTCGAGAGAAGTGTGAAATTCACCGCACCCTAAAGGATTCTGCGATACTGATAATGTGGCTGTAAAAAGTTATTTTGAAAAAAAAAAAATACCCTTTCCTGCTCTCCACCCTCTCGCCTCCTCGTTTTGTTTACAAATGCGGAGGGAAAAGGGAACAAAGTCGATGCTGCTGCTGCAGAAGAATTAAACTATATATTGAGAAACAAAAAGAAAAGTAACGATAGAAAATAACCTCAAAATTTCGTTTCTCAATTAAACGTTTCAAGGTACCACAAGGCCCACTTGACAAGACGGCTGATCCTTGACACATCAGCTGACAGTGAAATGGAAGAGAACATGGTGGAGTGGCTCAGGGTAAGTCCAATATGCACATCACAACACCAAGTGTCTTTCATTCTGTATATGATTTCACCCTGCTTTAGAAATAAATTGTCTAGGTCTACCTGAACGAATTAGATACTGCTTCCTGATGGAGAAAGAAACTTTAAGACGCTACGTCACGGTTTGCACATCTTGAAAAGTTTAACCTAAATTGTTTAGTTTCGTCGTTTGTAATCTGTGTTAATCTTCCCCATCCTTAACCATCCTTGTTCCTTCATGGTTTATTATTATCTCTTTGGTGTTTTTCTATCTTAGTAAACTATCATTTTCGGGTTTCCTTCAATTTAAAAGTAATTTTGTACATGGCCAAAATAACCCAAAATACCGTGACTCCATTACTTCTGAGTATTCAGCGGTTCTTCAAGACGATATGTCCCATCTGATTATTTTCTTTATTCTCTTTACCTGTATGTGTGCAACTGTATTGGTATTGCAAAGAGAAAAAATATATTAGTCAAGTTGTCTTTTCAAACAGGATGTAGGAATGCCCGCGGATTATATCAACAAACTAGCCCGTATGTTCCAGGACATTAAAGTTAGCAACGATCTGAACCAGGGCTTCAAGAAAGAATACAAAAACAAGGGCGACATTGCAGGTACTTTGTTTGCTTTGAACAAGCTTCATTGTGAACTGCGATGAAGCGTTCTTGGCCTTAATGGATAGCTTAGAGAGCGTGAATATGGCTGTAAGGCAGAGTAAGGGCATTGATTGATATCTGTCCATCGTGAAGAAGGACCTAGGTACATTTTTGGCTTGATTCCAAAACCAGCAAGGTTGTAAAGCTGAATGAAAGGTTAAATCTTCATATGAGCCAAGTGGCCCATCAGACCGGTGCCTATCTCTTTTTCTGTAGCATGGAGCGACTAGGAGTATTTCTACTCCCCCCTGGATGGGATGCTAGTCCATCGCAGGGTTACCCCAGCATTGAATTCGTCGGTACCCAACTAGGTTGTATTTGATAACAAACGCAATAAGTTCCAGGAACCCCGTTTGCAAGTAAGGAATCGATTATAGCCGCGCAATAGTAGTTTCTGGGTGTGTTCATTGTTCCTTATAGCTGTCATTGTATAAACTGAACCATTTTCTTTAAGACTTTGGTACTCCTTAGTCCAGATGCTAATGCTTGATTTACAGATGAGCGCCTGACTACTTCTATTTTAATTGTTGTTCACTTTAGATTCGGTTAACATTAAGATTTTGAATGCTGGTGCTTGGTCAAGAGCTTCAGAAAGAATTCCTGTTTCGCTTCCCACTGAGGTGAGATAGTTGACAGTGATTGTCTTAGTCTTACTTAGCTCTCGTTGAAGGTCCGACTGAGATAATTTTTAAGGACAACGAAGTTTTAAATTAGCGAAAATTTTAAACGATTCATCTCTTCTTACCTTACAATCCACAAAAGAACTGGCTTTCCCGTCAGGTAGAGCTTTTGGATTATTTTTTAACTATGTTTGATGTTTTTCCAGCTGATGTTTAATGTTAAGTCCTTATTACAAAAGGAACTCGAGAATACGAGCATTTTGTTCGTCCGTAACCTGTGAACAGGCTGTCTAGGCCTGCCTCTCTCTAGAGCTGCCTGTCTCTCTCTTTAGGCCTGCTGCAGTTGACTGTAGATATAGTGATCAGATGAAAAATCTTTTATGTAATTCAGCTTGAAGACTACATTCCCGAGGTGGAAGAGTTTTACCGGAAAAACCACAGCGGTCGCAAATTGCAGTGGCATCATTTAATGTCCAATGGAGTGGTGAGTGTCTGTTTTTTTATTTCGTTGTCCTTTTATTACTATGTACAAGCAGTATCAACGGATTTAATTCTCGGCCAGTCGGAAACGGTCGAATCCCGTCCCTTTTGATTGGGCTTGCAGTTGCCTAGCAACGTGACGCATCGTGCTGATGTCATGGTGACTTGTAAAGTTTGGAAGTGCTCTCGTGTTCTCGCGCTATCTTTTAGTTGGTCAGTAAGAATGGGTTACTCTTCGGTGCTAGCCGAAAAGCAGCATTAAGTACGGCAGAATGATTCCTCGAAGTTTCGTAACCGTGTGTTATATCGCTTGTTTCTTCGGCAACGAACTAGAAAAAGACTAAAGAACTATTAGAAATGCTTGTCAACAAGTTACACCAGGAAAATTTGACTTTTTGATTTAGTTTGAGTAATTTGCTTTCTTTTTTTCAGATAACCTTCGCCAACAAAATTGGAAAATTCGACCTCGAAGTAACTACTTTTCAAATGGCTGTTCTCTTCGCCTGGAATGAGCGACCGCATGAGAAGATTTCATTTGAAAATTTAAGGTCAGCGCAGTCAAATCTTGACAGCATTTATTTTTTTCTGAGCCATTTGTAGATGTTTGAACGCACATTTCGCCCTGCCAGTCACTGAATTAACAAGGTGGGAATACTGGACTTACCCTGAAGACGCCTGTAAACAGTCAAAAACTGACTGACATTCCACAAATCACATGGCTGTTTGCCGTCAGGCTTGCCCTTCAGCACTAGACAGGACACAAAGCCGCAAAAATATAAAACAATTTCTGCCTAAAATCATCATTTTAGCCCCTTAAGCATCATCGAATGCTTTAAAACTTATTTTATACACTGACAAAATTTCTTTTTGTTACTTAGTTTCTACCAGTGGTGCAACCCTTTGTTCCTGTATACTAACACTCGCACAGTCTAGTGTTACAACACTCGCATAGTCTAATGTTACCCTTTTAGGTTATTGCAAGGTAGTTCTCGCGCGACTAATTTTTTTTCGAGACTAATTCAAGCATTTATGGATATACAGCGGTGCCGCCACAATATGGCTGTCTAGACCTCTGATTAACGTATACCTTCTAACGTCTTCATTTTCATTTTCTAGGCTCGCTTCTGAACTTCCAGATTCGGAACTCAGGAGAACTGTATGGGTATGTCAACTGGTTTCTCCGAAGTTGTGATTGATTTGCAACTTCTCTTGGAATTTTAATTTTATGAATAGCTGTATTTTATATGTAAATGCTGATCGCCAGTTAATACCAGTGATCCAGTGATCACTGATCGGCCTTCCAGGTTAAATAAAGTCTTACTTTTATTTATTTAACATATAGAATACCGATCCATCAAAAGTTTCCTCCCACCTCCTCCCCTCCTCTTCAGAGTTTTGTCCGGCAGGGTTCCTAGCCAGTCGCTATGGACGTATCTACCCCTGGGTTAAGAGAGTCACTTTGAAAATCTTACCCAAGAACCCAGGCCAGGCTTCGAACCAGGACTGCTCGATTTAAAGTCCATTGCATCAATCGATGAGCCACTTCGGCTGTCAATGCTGTTTACTAACGTTTGGACTATTCACGTCCCATTTTTCTTTCTCCTTGCTTTTCGTGGTACATATTTGTTCGTGAACCTGATTTTCTAAATTTTTACAATCTCGCTTTGATTTGTTGAATAGTAAGTGTTATAGATTATAATCCATCAAATATTTTCGCTCGCGCGCGATTGGTCTAAACGCGTCACGTGACCGAATATTTCCCAACTAAAACGGGGGAATATCCGAGAATATTCCCCAATTTTCGAAACTGCGCGTGTTGCGAAAAATATTTTCAGGATAATAAACACAATAGCCTCCATTTGACTTTGAAAATATGCTCGGATATTTGTCCTTGGACATTATCTGTTCCTCGAAGCGCACAGTTTTCCGAGAGCGAAGCTCGAGGAAAACTGTTCGCTTCTCGGAACAGATAATGTCCGCGGACAAATATCCGAGCATATTTTCGCGCCAAATGGAGGCTATTGTTTATATATTCTCTATTTTACAGTCGCTAGTTGCCTTCGCTAAGCTCAAGCGGCAAATCCTCTTATGTCAACCTGAAGCGAAGTCTCCAAAGGATTTCACCGACAGCTCTTTGTTCTGGGTCAATCAAGAATTCGCTGTAATGTAAGTAGATGAGTTCACGAACCGTTGGTGAGCTTTTATTTCAGTCAGTTGACAGTCGCATTCCGTAAGGTAGAAGATTGCCATCACTAAGAATAATGGATGGTTAAGCTTGCTTAGAAGGGTCTGAAGTCAAATACGAAATTCATTTACTAGTATGAAAGCCAATTTTTACGAGGCTACCGCCTCGAGCAACTCTTACGCTTTTTTTCGTGCTCTCCACACTTCCCGCGTGCATCCATACATCCATACTCGATACACGCACGCTAAACATGAACCAATTCTTTAGTAGATGATATTGTATGAAGTTTAATAAACCATTGGTTGTCGTCTTCATGTCTCTTTTATTTTAGTAAAAACAGCAAGGTTCAGAAACGCGGTAAAGTCAATCTCATTGGGAGGTTGCAGCTTTCGACGGAGAAAGCTAAACAAGAAGAAAACGACGGTATTGTGGCGCTGAGAATTCTAAGAATACAGGTTAGAAAAATTAGCTCAGGTTATTCATTACGTTTATCGTAGCAAATGTCCGCCATGTTTACTTGCCAAGATGGCAAAGATGGCGACCTTAGTAACCAAACTTTGGAAATGTTAAATTCGACCCCTAGCGTGGTGAATATAGTGTCTAATTCTTATTTTCACCTCTGGAAATTATACTTAAGTTTAATACTTGTTGTCCAGAGGGATATTTATAAGCAGTGTTAGTTTCTAGCTCTCGCTTACTCCTTCTCTTTCCACTTTACGTGAGTGTTACGCGGCATACTCTCTTTGTATCGTACAGCAACTTTCCGCTGTGCTCCCGAACTTTCCCCTTTTTTGAACGGAGAGGAAGATTCCTGAAGGTTTACCTGACGGGTACGATCTTCGTTTGTTCAGTTTAAGAGCCATTCTGCGTTATATTGATTAGTTTCGTTTGATGTCTTGCAGGAAGCGATTGTGAAGATCATGAAGATGAGAAAGCGAATAACAAACGCTGCTCTTCAGACTGAACTGGTGGAAATTCTTAAAAACATGTTCATTCCTCAGAAGAAGATGATCAAGGAACAGATCGAGTGGCTTATAGACCACAAGTATCTGAGACGGGACGAGGAGGACATTAATACATTCTTATACGTCGTATAACCACACTGTTGGGCCTCAAACGAAGATACAGAGCTTCTTGACTTCGTCCAGCTTTGAGTCTTGCTCTCAGATTAATATTAGGGAGTGTAAATTACCACGACGGCGACGCCGAGGATAACGTCGATTGAAAAATGAATGTGTGTGTTACCTACGAATCTCGCGGTATCCTAAAGTCATTTACTTTGTTTATCACCGTCAAAGCTATCACAAAACTAAATCTGGAACATAGTGATGAATTTGAAATAGAAATTTAAAAACTTATCCGTCGTTGTTCACGTTCTTTAGACAAAGCAGAATTTGGTCATTTTACGTTGTTGGGTTGCAGAGGACGGCAAAGAAATGTACAAAAAGTCATAACGCACGTGCACAGTCATTGCCCTGCTTATTAAATCTTTTGTTTAGCGATGTTCCCGTTGCCTTCGTGGTTTTCTTAAACTCCCCTATCTCCTGCCCAGAACCTTCTTGCATTTGCCAGCGGTCGATTTTATAATGCAAAAACCGCTGGTAGAGGAATGCAGGCTCTGGGTACTAGAATGTCCATCGTGGACATGTTGTTTTTGTTCCTGGTTTTCTTGAAGGAGTTGTGTCACACCATACTACCATCAAAATGGCTGAAACTAGTTAAGGCTGTTTGAATCGATTTTCGAAGGTTTAACTGACTCATTTAATCGTTCAAAGGTAGCCTCGATATCCCATAGGGGCAAATATTCCAACGAATTTCGAACGCCGTTATAAAAAAAAGTCCAAGTATAACGGGCAATGAGGGACATTCTTCCGTCCTGGCCAAAGTTACTAACGGTAAAATGCATGGAACAAAACAGCCATATAACGAGTCCCCGTTACATGGAACTTATTTTCCAAGGCCCTAGGGCGTGGTACCTAGTTATGTCGAGGTTTTGCCGTTTTTAGCGAGCGGGCTGAAACCACGATGTAGTACTAACCCGAGAGTCATTCTCACTGACCCCCTCAGAAAAGAAAATTCTTACAAGCTTGACGATTGAATTAAAAAATTAAACTTATTCAATAATTTCGTTTCTTACAGTACTTCTATAATTAGAATTTCCTCTAAGATTTTCTCCCAGAAGCTTCACTTGTCCGTCCGGCAAGTAAAATTCAGAATCCCCCAGTCCAACTGCAAAGTCCACTAGCCCAGGGCTATACATTTAACGAACCAATGTTCTTCAACCGTGCCAGAGTTACTGAAAATAAATGGTGTATGTGGCGATAGAAACTCGGTATACCGAACGATGTTATTAAAGCCGTCCAAGGTTACTAACAAACTCCCTTTATATGAAACATATCGTTTGTTTTAACATCAAAAATCAAAATTATGATGCTCGATTCCCCCCCCCTACGGATCCACTTGTTGCTGTGCAGGGATTTCTTTAAATTGCTCAACCATCCCCCCTCCCCTCAAAAAAATGATGGTCCTTCCCCAAGACTATAACTGGAGACAGGAACCTCTGGTCTCCTTCACGGTAACACGTGACGTTTCCGTTTGGATACCGTGTGGTATTCTCCTTCCAATGCAAAGCATTACGTCTCGGAAAAGCAAATGGACTTCTCTGAATACCGTCACGGGATCACGGGATACACAATTAAACGCGTGGCGTTACCAGGGGCGTAACGCACCACACATCTTTACAGGCTACATGTCACACAACGTCTCCAGACAGAACTCGTATTTATTGAAAACTTTGAAGTGTATACCCTTAATTGCTCGAGTTCTCATACGGTTACTCATTTATTGTATGAGTGAGAAATTCGTTGATTTGGATTGCTTGGTCTCTGCCAATCAGAATGAAGTAATTTTCTCAGTCATAACGTAATCATTATTATGTGGATTACAGCAATCATAAGGTGTACGTTTCTCGGTGGCAAACTTTCAAAGAGTGATGTACACTGCAGGAAAATACAGAAATTCACAGCTGGGAATTTTAATAATGCACTTTTCAACCACTTGTTTCGCAGTTGTGTAGATGATATGGTAAGGTTGTCCGGGATTCTTACTGGGGTTGCAAGTTTTAGCATTTTAGTTTTATTGGTTGAAAATATTATTTTCAGTCGTTATTATCAGCTTTGAATGTGGAAATTTCTGATTGCCATTAAGGGTCATTAAGATCTTCTATGCAAGGATTCCGTTGTATTATTATGTTGGCTGTTGACAAGTCCTACCACGAAACTCACGAACATCACGCGATACATCGCCAGAATCGTTCGGTCACGACACAAACCTTGGCACGAAAAACGGGTTTCAAATTTATAGAAACTTTGAAATAAGTAAAATGAAGTTGATTTAGTATCGGTGTCCTGTATTTTCAGCTTTAATAGAATGTAGAATTTTTGATTGTTATTATCTTTGCTAACTCGTTTATCAGGGTCCTGTCGTTGTCGATGATATCAATGATGTCACGTATTGTCATGTCGTCACGCGGCACTTCGTCGGTCGGCACGAATATCGAACGCCTTCATATCGAACGCCTTCATATTAAGCACTTATTAAATAAAAACGTTGAAATAAGTAAACTTAAGTTGTGTTATCATCTGTGTCCTTTTATTATCAGCTTCGAATGTGGAATTTTTCGGTATGCTATAAATACCGTGATTGCCAGTGAAACAAACATTTCTTTTGTTTAACTCGTTGGAATTTTAAATAAAATAATAGATATTCTCCGAATTATCATATTCTCTATATTAACCTGCGAGGCAAGCGCTTCGGTGATGATAGGGAGTGCACGACAGCGACAACACGGCAGCAACACACCTAATACCATCTGATTTACCACTTCAGCCTGATCTTACCAGGCGCCCGCGATCCTATGGGAGGCCATATAAGTCAAAAGTGGTATGAGTTCACGACTGGTGATCAAAAAATCGATCGCTATGGTTGAGTTTATCGATTGGTGATTGAAAATATTGATCGCTGTAATTGAGATTATCGATTGGTGCTTGAGATTGTCGATCGCTATGGTTGAAATTATCGATTGCTGATTGAGAATGATGGTCGCTATGGTCCAAAAAGCGATTGAATGCCATTTACCTCCATTTACCTTCATCCTCCTTCATAGACCTTCATCCACCTTCGTTAACCTTCATTCACCTTCATAGACCTTCATCCACCTTGATAGACCTTCATTCACCTTCATCCACCTTCACAGACCTTCATAGACCTTCATCCACCTTCATCCACCTTCATCCACCTTCATCCACCTTCACAGACCTTCATAGACCTTCATCCACCTTCATTCATCTTCATACACCTTCATTCACTTTCATACACCTTCATTCACCTTCATACACCTTCATCCACCTTCATCCACTTTCATTCACCTTCATACACCTCCATTCACCTTCATACACCTCTATTCACCTTCATACACCTCCATTCACCTTCATACACCTCCATTCACCTTCATACACCTTCTAAACGTAATTTCTTCTGTTTTCACCGCT